TATCTATCTATCTATCTATCTATCTATCTATCTATCTATCTATCTATCTATCTATCTATCTATCTATCTATCTATCTATCTATCTATCTATCTGCATTCTTTTCATACATATTACAGTCAAAGGTTTTTTTGTCACTCCAGAAATCAGACTACATTCTCAAAAGCCAGAATCTTTTTGTGCTTTTAGGAATAAAATGTTCTTTAAATCAGACTAAGAGTGACATATTATCAAAGCCCTCTGTTAATACTTTCAGAATATAGATAGGAATGAAAGTAAAAAAATGTCTGAGGTGTGTGAGAGTCACTGAAGTAGAGATTTTATGCTTCAGAGAACAAAAAAAATCATTTTGAGGAAGCAGCCTTTAAAGATACATATTGGAATATATATAATATTTAAGTAATAGATATTACCATTGGCTGGGATAGACTCCAGCCCCCCTGTGACCCTAATGAGGGTGAAGCGGTGTATAGATAATGGATGGATGGATATTACCATTATTTATTGTTATTTTTGTAATTATACAAATAAGATAATATCTCAGTAACTGTTCACTAATTTCCATAAGTTTCCAGTGGACAATATAATAAAATAAAAACCAAACTTTGTGTTTTTTTGTCTTTCCGTTAGTCTGAAAGAAGACATGATGTGGAAGCAAAGCAGCCCAAAATGTCAAAATTGCATAAAAAAAGCAATGTTTTGCCTTAAACGGTGAAACTAACTCACTTTTTTAAAAACCAAACTTTGCAATACACTGAACAAAAGCACAAACGCACCATGCAAATGATCTCCTCCTCTGACTTTTTTCTTTTGCTATCTTCAGAAAAGAGTTGAATTTATCTAACTGTGTAAAAAAAACCAGATGTGGAGCTGTGACAAATCCTCAGCGACTGAGTTTATCCACTCTGCAGTCAGGTGTAGCTTTAAAGGACAACGATCAGACAGTGTGACCGGCACACACACACACACACACACACACTCTTTTGACCTTTAACTACGAAAGGTCACCTTAAAATGCAGCTTTATTTAAATGGCACAATACCACAAATGGCAAATAAAAAGACGCAAATGAGCCGTTGTCCCGCCGGGTGCCGGTTATGGCCGCAACCGGGCACTTGAGAGTCGACAACTCCAACATTTGTTGGCTCAGAAATAATCATTTCAGACAGCTCTGTGTCCGACAACACAATCATGTCCCCCAAAATGGCAACTTCGTCAAGCCAGGAAGAGTGGCGCGACACTCTACAAGCCAGCAAAAACAACCTCATCAGCTCTATGTGTCCCCGATGTGTGACTCATTACTGACTTGTGATTTCTGCCCATTATCATTCCCAGCATACAGTGTATTCTGATTTCATGATGTTCATTCTGCTGTGTGTGGGAACAGCACAAACACT